CATAACAATCTTGCAGACAACAAAGAGATGTCTACGACAGTGGAGTGCCTCAACGCCATGTCCTCAGACTCCGTAGAAAAATTTCTCCAGAGAGTGTAAAATGCCAAAAAATCGACTCCGTTATTTTGCCGTGAGTTGGTGTCATATACTCAATGGGACCTGTAAAAAGGAGTGTTGTGTGCAGTTATCTACAGCCTCCAACTCAAAAAAGAACGATGGAGACTGAACAAAACCAATTAATCGTTTTCACATTGTACTGAGCAAAGTCGAGTACGTGACGCCATCTAAAGCGAACTCTGAACATATCATCTTCAGGGACCAATCAGCCCCTACAAGCACTAAAGCGTGCACCCCATGCACATGCAATCACGTTTCGGATGGAGCGCAAGTGCATGGGGAAATCCAAAATGAAGCATTTTAGCACTTTAGAATATGCCTTGTAGAGCTCGACGAGCTGAGTGCAACGGTGCTTTTATGTCCTCGATTACTCCATTTTGAAGCGATTTATAGCAAAAAGACAGAAATACGCGAATTCGCGGTATTCGCGTGAATTTTCGAGTTCTTACGGCGAGTACTGTACAATATATACCAATCGGTTCATCCGGTTAACGCCGGGCTTCCCTCCTTCTTCGCCAAAGTTGTAGTTCTCGGCTAACTTTCTGCACCTTCTTTGAAACGAATAATATTTCTGTACATGAAGTCTGACACAGGATCAACAGGGCAGTGCATATTATATTCAGTGTAAGTGGGTGCTCACGCTTTTAATTGGGAGTGTCGATCTTTTGCTCTCGTTCTCCAAAATATAATAAATATCCATTGAAGACTCAATTATTAGGTAAGCAACGCTTTCGGCAATACTGACAAATGTTTCGAGTGATGATAACACCACTACCAGATGTCGTTATCAATGGGCCTTTCTCTTCACGGAGATGTCACTAGTTGAGAATTAAAGATTACCGGCGGACGGCCAGGATCTGTCGCAAATGAAATCTAACAAAGGAGATCCTTCATTGAGACACAAAACTTACTCGGTAGCGGTTGTAATATGATAGCAAGGGATGAACAGAATTCTCATCTGCTTATATTAGTGCCTCCAATAGGTCCCTATCACTGCAACTTCAACTCACTTTAGCCACACTACTCTACCATCCCGTATTATCGCATGAAACATACCGAACAATCAAAGATACATCATAAATACCAAAGACATCGGCATTTTGATCGGTAGATGACCCGTTCTAGGCCGCTCATATTTTCTTATCGGTTATTATCAATTCCTGTCACTGAGTATCTACGTTCGCGTCGTATTCTACATCACTTATTCGAATGCCGAGGTTTTAACATGAAAAGAGTAATCCTGCCAAGTTTGAACGCTCCAGATCCGCGTAAATAGGAGTTATCAATTTGCGGCGTAAAATTTCTTTCGCGCACGCACGCCCCCTGTACGCCGAGTCTGCTCCTGCTGATTGCCATGCGTGTTCCCATTCTGCCCTTCAAACCTCTATCAACTTTAAACTCGGTAAGTCCACGGAAACAAGAGTTATGAACTTCCGGTCAAACACACGCGCCGACACACCAACAGACACACNCGTAACTTATCACCAACGTGAGCGCTGATTCCTGACAGTAGGCTATTTTTGAGGATGGTTTAACTCTTTTACAAAGGACTTCTCGCACCATCCGCTCTGATTTGAGGAGAAACATCTTCTACGTATGAGATCTTGGGAATAGCATAGAGGCTACTATACACCATGGAGAACTACACTTCAAATTCGACTAAGAAAATAACGGCGAAGAGCTGCATCGAAAAACCGCTTCCTGTAATGGTTTCTAACGTCTTTTTTAGCCACTTCTTCTAAAGTATTCTTCATGTGACGTACTACCTACTTTACTATAAGCAGGTGCCCAAACTCTATAGAAAACTGACGGGACCAGGAATGGCAGGGCATAGTCAGGATGCGTAGCATCCAATCAGCCCATAGGTGGTCACAGCCACCGACGATCCGATACTGAGATATGCTATCATGATGCTCTTGAGTGGGCGAAATCGTCAATTTTCGACAAAATCAGCATTTGACAAAGTCGACAATCTC